CCGACTTACCACCATGGCGTGAGTTGCAGCACGAGCGCCTATGAGATTTGTAGGAAGATCAGCCCACTGCGCGACCTCCTCAGGGCAAATGGCCTTCTTGCTCTTTCGGAGAGCGTAGCTCGGCGTCAGCACGCACCCAACCTCCCCGTGACTTCCCGAGCCCGAAGGCACAGCCTGGGTATAGGCAGTGTCGGTGTAGGGAGCCTCGACATAGGGAGCCCCTGCCGCTTCCTGAACTGAAGGGGCCACCTCAGGCTCACCAGAAGGCTCCATTCTCGGTGCCTCGGGCTCCAGAACCCGGGAAAGATCAACGCGGACCTGCTTAGCAGCTCGCTTCCTCCTTTTCATGCCAACGAACAAGTTCGCACCTCGAGTCTTCTCTGCCTCCATAACACCTGCAAAAAGGAGCTCGACATCAGAAGACGGGAATAAAAGCAAAAGTAAGAGTATCTTCGTCTGAAAAAGATACCTACCCGAACTCAGACCGGCCTGAATAAGCTTGTCCTCCGTCAGGTAAACTTCGCATTTGAGCCCTTGCCGGGCCCAGTCCTGGAGGCCCTTCACCGTGTCTTCGTCTAATGCGACATCGGGGTCAGGAGCGACCAAACCCCACTCAGTAGGAAACGGCCACCCCGTAGCACTTCGAACCACGAAGTAGTCCCGCTTCCATGCCAGGACCTTGTTTGGAAGGTCGTGTACTCGGGCGAGGTGAAAAGTAGTACTCGGGCGAGGTGAAAAGTAGTCCCGCTTGTTTTTTGAGCATGAGGATAGCTGAAAAGACTTTCAGGTCTAAATGAAGGCAAAGCTCGCAGTACAGGGAGATAATGCCAACAAGGTTACGAACAGAGTTCGGGTGAAGCTGACCTATAGTAACGCCGAAGTGGTTCATGACTTCGACGATAAGAGGATGAAAGGGAAGGCACAGCCCGGCAACGAGCTACTCCCGAAATATCACGATCTCATCCGGACCGTGCTCCCAAGGAAAGTCGCCCGAGGGTACAAAGTAAGTATACTCCCCGGGCAGGTTGTACTGGACGATAAGGGATCAAAGCCTTTTGGACGTCATAGTGGAAGGTCCGAACTTATCTGGCACCCGACCTCGGCGGGAGGTGGATGCCAAACTACCCGAGGTGACTTGACATACGGGCTCGAACTCGAGCTCTACCTCGGGCCCCACCTCGGACTCACTAAGGCTGTCGGGGGTAGCAGCTCGGTTCGTAGAACCAGCATCAGACCCCCCCAGGAGACTACCTAAACTACCCGAGCTAGACATCGAAACAAAGAGGGCTGAGGACTCACCAGGAAAAGCTAACCGGACTGCGAACGAGTGACGTGAGCTGACAGGCTTGGACACGAGCTCAAGGAACAAACACTGAAGGATAACAGAGGAAAGTGACTGGGGGTCCCCCCACTATTTAAAGCCACTATACCCGCGCATCAACGGCCAAGATCCAAACCATCCAACGGCTCCCCACAAAGTCAGTTGCGCACTCCCCGAAGAAGACACTTTGGCGCACACGTTCGAAAATTCGAAATTGTTTGGCGCGCACGTTCAAAAATTTGAAAATTTGAAATCGTTTGCACGCGTGAACCACACGTAGCCCGAGACTGACCCCTAGTCGACCCAGGCTGACCCCGGTTGAGCCGAGAACAAAAGCAGACCGGACCGGAGAAGTTCCAAACCAAGGCCAAAGTGTCCCAAGCAAATCCACCCGTCATCCCGTGAACTCCCCACGCCGGGTCAGGACCCCGGGCATGGGGAGTGGGGGGCAATTGATGGAGGGAGATTTGACCCGACCCCTTGGCCATGCGACACGTGGAAGCAACCGAGAATGACCTGGAAGAAGTGCCAGCTCGGCGCGGCAGCAAGCCCACAACCCGAGCTCCGAGCTAAAGAGTTCCGAGCTCCATCATGGGAGGAACCTACAACCCGAGCTCTGAGCTAAAAAGTCCCGAGCTCCCCAAAGAGGAACCCGAGCCTTACAAGGAGCACAAAAGGCAAAAAACCCTGAACTGCCCACCCAGGGGCAATTCGGGCCATACTTCTATTCGAACTCAAGATTTCACCTCGCACACCACTTCGGCTCCAAGTCGCCAGACTGAACAACCGTACCTGACGCCTAGGAGACCGTACACGGAGGCGGCGCACCTGACCGATTAGGGGACTGACACATGGCAGCCACCATCCAACGACCACCTGCCACCGCCATCTCAGATGGACAAAGGCGGCCCTGGCAATTGGCAGTGGAGGTTATGACACCCGAACTGGCAATTGCCAGAAGAAATGACACCCGACCTGGCGGAGGAAGTGACCCGATCTGGCAGAGGTAATGATGCCCGAACTGGCAGAGGCATGGAAGTAAGTGTACAGGGTGATTATAAAAGGCCCCCATCTCACAAAGAAGAGGGTATGTGATTCTTGCGCTTTCTCGTCTTAGAATTCCTCATTTCCCTTGCCTTCTGAAGAGCACTAACTTGAACTTCGGAGTGTTCCAACCGGGTTCCTCCCCGGAAGTCTTAATTTTCTTCCTTGTTTCAGGCACCTCCAATCTTGTCAGAAGCGTGGTAACCGGCAACCAGAACGGACCGGATTGCGCGTCATCAAAGTCCACATCGAGGGAATTGGAATTTACAGTATTCTAAGAAAATAAGGGATGATAGAATTGATGTTTCCAGCAGATGAACGTGAACAGACGATTGGAAATGAGGAAAAAACGCAATCTAGTGGAGTGTTGTGGCGGTGGGCTGAGTTCGAATAGGGTTGGAAGTTATAACAAGGATAAATTAGCATAATGATTTATGACAGAACCTTAACGATAAGGAAAGTATTAATCAATTATTAAAAATGATAGGAGTAGTGTTAATCAATTAGTCAATTAACTAAACCAACCATAACAGTAGTTTAAAAAACTTATATAAGCGTGGTCCGACCCGGTCCATGATCACCCTAGAGCCCAGAGGCAATTGACATCGTAGAAAATTGAGATGTAGCTACCGCTGTTCTAGTAAGCCTGCAACTTTGCCTGAATACATACTCCGTGGACATGATACCGTCTTCCTCTGCACTTCTTATTCTTCTCCTCCGGTCATCAAGAAAACCAATTACTTTCCCTTCTATCTCCTCCACAACTCCTTTTCTTTTCCAATCTCTCGCGACTCAAACTTCAAAACTCCCACACGACGACGACGATCATCACCACCATGGGAGAGGAATGCCCAACGACGAATACTTTGCCGCCATCCACCACATCTCCAACATTGTTCGCCGTGATTTCTACATGGAACGAACCCTCCAGAAGATGCAAATCAATGTCACTTCCGAACTCGTCTATCGAGTCCTCAGGAGCTGCGGTAAGTGCGGAATCGAATCCTTTCGTTTCTTCAACTGGGCTCGAAACCAGCCTCGATATGAACCCACCACCATTGAATTCGAAGAACTCATTAAAACCCTAGGCCGGACCCGTAACTGGGAAACCATGTGGAAGGTTGCAGAACAGATGAAGAAACAAGAGTTTTCTCTCACCCCCGAGACATTCTCAATGATTATAGAGTCGTATGGGAAGCATGGGCTCGTCGATCGGGCTGTTGAAGTCTTTAACCGGATGAAGAATTTCAATTGTTCTCAGACGACCCAGGTCTATAATGCTCTGCTCTACGCGCTCTGTGAGGTTAAGAATTTCGAAGGGGCTTATGCTTTGATTCGGCGGATGATAAGGAAGGGAGGAGTTCCAGATAAGAGTACTTTTGCTATTCTTGTTAATGGCTGGTGCTCGGCGGGGAAACTCAGGGAAGCACAGGAGTTTCTAGAAGAGATGAGTCGAAAGGGATATAACCCGCCTGTTCGCGGTCGTGACCTTTTGATTGATGGCTTGCTCAATGCGGGTTACCTTGAATCGGCCAAGGAATTGGTTAGGAAAATGACAAAGGAGGGGTTTTTGCCTGACATTGAGACATTCAATTCTCTACTGCAAGCTATTTGCAATACTGGAGAGGTTGATTTCTGTATTGATCTTTTCCATGATGTTTGTAGATTGGGGCTTTGTCCAGATATTAGCACTTACAAGATCATGATCCCAGCTGTTTCGAAATTGGGTCAGATTGATGAAGCATTTAGGCTGCTCCATAGATCCATCGAGGATGGGCACAAACCATTTCCAAGTTTATATGCTCCAATACTTAAAGCCCTTTTTAGGAGGGGTCAGTTTGATGATGCATTTAGTTTTTTCAGTGATATGAAGGCCCAGGGTCATCCCCCAAACCGGCCAGTGTATACAATGTTGATTAGGATGTGTGGGCGGGGTGGAAGATTTGTAGAGGCTGCGAATTATCTGGTGGAGATGACAGAGCTGAATTTGTCACCGAAGGCACAGAGCTTTGATGTGGTTACTGATGGATTGAAGAACTGTGGGAAGCATGACTTGGCTAAGAGGATAGAACAGTTGGAGATATCCCTTCGTGGTGTTTGAATTTGGATATTCAGAAGAAAATGATTTTGTTTTCCAGATGACCCTCTATTTCCATTTTCATCTGTTGACCTCAATTCAGAGTTGAGAATTCCATCGAAATGTTTACATGGATGCTACCTCACAGGTAGGCTTGTGTTTGTATAATATTTCTCTCTCCATGCATTTGCTGATAGCCGTACTTTTTTTGTTTGCTCCATGGGTTTACCATTATCTCATTTGTTCAAGTTCTCATCTGTAAATCTTATCAAATGTTTACTATAGTCTGCTTCACTTTTCATGTTTCTGAATACCTTGCTCATGTCACATTAGTAATATATATTTAGATAAAACAACAGGTTCATGGCAAATCTAACCAGGTATTATATCAGTTAACAGACAACCTGCGCTCTTCTCTGGCAGTTCACAAGGGATTGAAAGGACTTCAATTTTTTTTTACAAGGATATACTGCTTTTTGGTTAGTATGATATTAAAGTTCATAGTGTATATCTCCATGTACATAGCCTTGGTGTATATTTCTTTGCTACAATTTGCTGATGACACATTGTTCTTTTGTGAGACCATGGGTGAAAATATAGAAATCCCGTAATACATTTTAAGCTGATTTGAGGTGGTATTAGGGCTTTGGATCAATCTTCAAAAGAGTGAATTGATTGCTGTTGGGAAGATTCCTCACATGGCTGATTTGGTGAGGTGTTAAGGTGTGATGTAGGGATGCTGCCTACAAAATACTTTGGCATGCTAGTTGGTGCTAGATGCAAGTCTAGGCTATGTGTGTGTGTGTGTTCACTCAGTGGAATATCAATCTTGTGTTATTTGGAAAATGGTGCTGGTGATATAGTGAGGAACCTTGTTTGGAAGGGCATTGAAAAGATTTATTGAGTGTTTCCCAAGGGTATCCATTACAAGGCAAGTGATGGGGAAAGAATCAGATTTTGGTATGACAGGTGATGTGGACATTAGCCTCTAATGGATGTTTTTGGGTCCCTTTTGATGTTAGCACGGAATAAGGAGGTGATAGTTAAGAATTCCTATTCAGCCACAAATGGCACAATCTCGTGGAATCCTACTTCTAGATGGGAAGTGGAGTAGTTGATGGAGCTCGTTCAAAGAATTCAGGGGATCAATCCTCAAGTGGGTCAGTCAGATTTGAGAAAGCTGGATTTGGGAGAAGTTGCTTATGGATTTCCTTTTATAGGAGGCTGAGTCACGAAGCTGCTTATGAATTTCCTGCTAAAAGAATTTGGCACTCAAGTGCTCTCACAAAGATTAAGTTTTTTGTTTAGACCATAGCTTTAGAAGTGTGTTTGACTCAAGACAAAATTTTAAGGAGTATGTTGGTTGACTTGGTGAAATGTCAAGTGTGTGTTTTGTTCAGAGGTTTTGGAATCTGCAAATCACATCTTTCTGCATTGTCCTTATGCAGCTGAGGTTTGGACTTTGGTGGAYTGTTCTCAATACCTTCAGATGGGTTGGATGTTTCCCACAATGCACTTAGCAGTTGGAAGGTTTAAGCAGCAGAGGGAAAGTCTTGTGGGGCTTGAATTACTTGATTCTGTTCGCAGTATTCTGGTGCACATGGAAGGAAGAAATGGCAGAGTTTCTGAAAATTCCAGTGTTTCAGCCCCTGACCTTCTAGGGAAAATCAAAGGGAAGATTTGTTCCTGGTGTGCAGTTCACAAGAAGTTCAAAGGACTTGACTGTAGTTGACTTTTTGTAGAAATATTTATATGTTAATTTCATGGAAACGGAATTGTATAGCCAATGTAAAAACGCTTTTTGCATGTCATATGTTTGTCTCTCTTTTTGATTATTAATACAATAATTTATCTTTAAATAAATGCATTATCTAATCAAACATCAGTGAATGACAAAAGGAATGGAGCTCTTGTGACCCAGTATTGTATTGGTGGTTCTTCCTAGTGTTATTAGCTAATCTTATCAAGACTCCAAGAATTGTAACTCCAACCTGGTTGCCGTTGTGATGATAAAATCTTGTTTCTCTGTGCCTAATCAACTTTGTTTGAGTTGAATGCAAAAGAATCTCCTCACTTACAATTTTGGAAATGTTTTTCATTTAATCACAAATTTAGAAAATTTAGTCTTGAAAATTGTATAGGCATCCTGGATTGCTAGCTTCTATAGGAAGATTCTATGGCTCTGAATATAGATGTGTTTAATTTGTATTGAATTGAAGCTCTAAATCTTACTTTCCAAATGTGACAAATTTCTAATCCAGTGTTCTCTCTTGCAAGATGCATTATTGTGTGAGAGTTTGCTCACATGGCTTGGTCAGAATGAAATTGAAGAATCTATATGGGAAACTATAAAAATGACAAAATCAGTACCTTTTCTGATTAATTATAAACATTTTAATAATGCAGAATAAAGGGATATTTATGTGACTTATCTTCCTTGACAAAGTTTTTACAGTTAACAATTTGAATCATTAGGATCTCCACATCCCAAAAAAGTACAGAATGCGCAAGGATGAAAAAGAATCTATATATCTCTTATTACTGCAGCCGTTTTCTGGATGATTGGGAAAGGAATTGTAGAGGTTCTGAAGGAAGGGGGAAGTCTACCACAGTTATGTGCCAGTGCTGGTACATATACTGGTCCTCAACTCTTGAGGACCTTGGTGCTTCTCTTTGCTTTTGTATATCTTCTCCATCCTTAATATTTTTTTTTTATTACTTGTAAGGAAAGGTATAAGATCTGAGGGAAATACCATATATACAAAAAAAAATATTCTCCTAAACATTGATAAGAGAAAGAAATATTTTGTTTTCCACCATTATTATCAGTTGACCTCAATGCAGATATCAAAACTCCTTTCACATGTTTATATGCATGCTACCTGATAGGTAAATTTCGGTTTGCGAATTTTTTTTCCCATGCATTTGGTGACTCCATAGATTTTATTATTTTTGTTTCACATACTGTTTGGTATATCTGTTTTTTTTTTTTTTTTTTGAAATGACGAGATGACCACTAAAATCTAATAAATAAGTTACATACAAATTGTATCATCCTAGAGATTGGGATACCCAAAGCATAAACAGTTATACAACAAAAATTACCCCCCTACCCACTCTCCTAAAATTGATTTTCTTTGTTCACTCCCTGTTTAGCCAAAGCATCTGCTGGTCCATTGGCGGATCTATAAATCCATTTTGTGATACACTTTCTTGCTTGTGAGCACCTTTAACTTCTTCATAATATTTCTGAACCAATGCTTTAAAACACGGAGGCGTGACATGAGGCATTTCATTGCATGGAGATGTGAGGCGTGGTTCAGAACGTAAGAGGCATAAACCTCCTTAAAAGAAGGGGGATGAGGAGAGAGGGGGAGCTAGAGAGGTGGGGGGTTCTTGTCGAAGTGGAGCAAGACCCCCTGGCACAAAATATCCAAATTGGGCTGCATTCAAAAAGTTGTTAGGAGGGTCCGGGGGGTGAAGCCCTCCAGCCAAGGTCCTTTCTCTTTCATCCCCTTTCTTTTCCTTTTTTCTTTTCTTTCTTTCATCTTTTTTTCTTCTCTTTCTTTGTTTCTTTTCCTTCCCTTTCTTTTTTGTTTATTTCTTTCTGCCTTATTTGTATGAGGGGTGCATGGGGCACATGAGGCATGCACCTCATGGACCTGAGGCGTACGCCTCAGAGGCATCAGCACCTCTGCCATACGCATCAGAGTGTTTGGGGTGCCTCACCTGGAGGTGCGCCTCCAGGTGTATGCCTCCCACACCTTTTAAAACACCGTTCTGAACTGCCAAGGAGTCTTGTCCTTGTTTTGAATACAGCCCATTACAACTATAGAGTCTCCTTCTATAAACAGTTTTGTATAGATTAGGTCTTTTGCCAGTCTCAAACCTTGCAAAACAGATAAGAGCTCTGCCTTTGTTCAGTTTCCAAAACCTGCAGGTAAAGAGAATGTTACTAATATGCCTCCATTGTGGTTCCTATACATCCCTTCTATCCTTGATTGATTTGGATTACCCCTGCTGCACCCATCAAATTCAGGATGATCACTTGTTCCTATGCTGATTCCTGTTGCAAACTTAAAACAGCTTGGAGATTGGAGACCTGGTTAGTGGCTACCCAATAACATCCTTGAATGATGTCATCCGTTGTGAAATCTTTGAAGAGCTTCGCTGTTTTGACCTAATGAACAACTTTCATTGTGATACTTTGTATGATAGTATTTCTGTCCTCGGTCTTATCATTGAGCAATTTCCTGTTCCTTTCTTCTCAACAATTTCAGAAGATGCAAAAGCTAAGGAATAAAATATAGAGAATTTATTAAGAAAGAGAATTTGGATATATTTCCTAGCAGTTTTTTCATACTTGTATGGCAGATAAATATTTCATAAATTAGTCGCATGGAATAACTGACCTGATATAGTGCGTGCTTTTTGTTTTTTGGGTTCAGTATATACATTTTCCATGAAAAAAAAGAAAAAGAGGGAAAAAAAGGAAAAAGGAAAATTCTCAATCCTTTGATGTTATTTCTTCTATCATCATGGTTACTTGTCATGTTTGCAGGTGCATTGTAGACCTAGGCCAAGCTCCATTTTGGGTGGATTGGGCCATTGGGGATTATAAGAAAAAGAGGTGTTATCTATGAGAACTTGAGCAATCTAGTCGATGTTGTTCTACTTGCTGCCACCAGTGAAACATTTTTAGATGGAGGTTCAAGGAGGTTAGCATTCAATTTGGCTTCTATGTTTTGGTTCATGTTTCAAATATGAAGAACTGTTTTATACATCATTAATTTGATATCTGAAACACTGTAGTTTATGGTACTATTACCTGGTGATTCCCATATGGATTTCTTTTTTGGGTAAAGGCAAAGTAAAATGGTTTGTTCTATCATTTCAAAAAAGTTCAAACATCAGTTTTTTTTTTCCTGAGTTGGTTTCTTGTTTCCAGGCTTTTATTTTTCTTTAAGTTCTATTTATTTGGTATGGCTTATGATTCTGAAGAGGAAACAAGTATTGCATCCTTTTGCCTATTTGTTGTTCAATCTGTTCTAAGGTAAGTCATGGGTATGATAGATGTAATTCCACCTTTGCTGATAAGAGCACTACATCGCACGGTTGTAATTCAAGGCTACTACAAAATTTTTTCAGCAAATAAGATCTGTTGACTTGGTCAAAATCTGGAGTGACGAACACACAATCTGTGACCAGTTTACCCACAAGGCTACAATTACTTCCAAGCTCCCAACTGTACCCCCCCCTTAGAGCCCCAACACTTTAAGATCCACCCACTCTGCCTCTTCTTCCCCCCAAATTTCGAGTTTTATTCATAATTCAAAAATTCTCCAAATTTTGTTTCCTGCTGCAGAACTAATTCTGTTTTAAGATTTCTGATCAGGTACCTTATCTGGACCCTTCTTCCTTCCCTCAGCCCCACTACGATCCGGCTCAATAACTTCATGCTCCTTCCCTCTCTTCCCTACTATTTTCTCCTAGCTTCAATTCTTCAGTCGTCCTCTTCCAGACGCTCCTCTTCTCCACCTTCTTCGTCCCACCCTTTGTTTTTCTCTAGACTTTCTTTCCTTATTTTTTTCTCTTATCTCTTCTTTTTATAGTTTAGTTTGGAATTAATAGTGCTGTGGATCCAAAGTATTCTTAACAGCTTAAGTGGCTTATGTGTACAAAAAGTGGTTAATTGAAGCTCTTTGTTCATGTATGAGTGTGTACACTTCCAGTCATGGAGGCTTCATTACTTGCAAGATATGCAATCCTTCAACTCTTACCCAGTAATTGAACTATCAAAGAAAAAAAAAAATCTTACCCAGAATTTGCATGAGAAAGATTGATAATAACAAGGTATTATTTCTAAATTACATTTTGTTGTTGCTTGTACACTAGTAATGATCTATTAACTTAAAAAAAAAGCAAAAAACAAAGACCTTTTGAATACCCAAAGCCCTGTTATTGCAGATAAGAGCTTGAATCCAAAGTTTTCACTAAAGAAGCAAGAAATATACATCTAGTTTCTGATTCTTAACTCTAAAATAGCATGGACTTTGTCAAATATCACAAAATGAACCCCCTAATGTATAGGCCAAAATTCAGGTTGGGAGTGTTGCCCTTGAGTCCCCTAATAATCTTGTATTGGCCTACCGTCCCTCTGCCTTCATAAAGGCCCCCAACCTCACCTCTTAGGCCCCGTTCGCTTTTCGGTAAGTTACTTACCTGGGTAAGTGTTTCCCAGGAAAGACTTATCCGGGTAAGTGCATTTACCCATGTTCTTTTATTTCCCATGTAAATAAAGCAATGACCATTTTAGCCATAAAAATCCATTATTAAAAGGGTCATTTTTATCCCATTCAAGTGTTGGCAATTTTTCCCCCAGGTGGGAAAGTTATTTACCCATGAGATGGGTATCACTTACCCGAGAAAATAAACTTTCCCTGGTCCCCACATAAATCTGAAAAAAAGAACATGGAAATTCTTGGTCAATGGGAATCAAAATCCCATTGACCAACTTTCCCCCCTCTCAAAATACAGAAAAAAGAACGCCCCCTTAGGATTAAGAATGCAGAATACTAATATCATACTAGCTACTTGAAGCAAATATAACTAGGAGATGGATAAATACATTTAGAGTTTTACATGCTTGAAGCACCTTAGCAACCACATTCTGTTTGCTTTTTACTTTCATTTTGAATTTTATGTCATGCTTATGTATTTTAATTTGAGCCAATAAGACTTTTTAAGACATTTAATTCCTTTAAAAATTAAGGTTTTCCAGTTAGTTAATAGTCATGTTGGTTGATGGGGATAAATCTAAAAGGGTGGGAGACAACAAAACAATAGTACAATTACATCACTTGACCCCAGGACATCAAAACAGAAGGATTTGCATCTTTGAAAGGTTGTAAATAGAAGATGGAGCTGTCAAATGCTACAGAAGAGCCATTTTGGAGAACACATTAGATCAGATATGCATGAACGAGACGCTAGGCATTTGAAGTGAGGCAGGCTGGGGTTCGGACTGGACTCCCTAGTCATGACGACAATTAGAGAGTCACCTGGCATTCAGAGTGAGGTAATGTGGAGCAGTTCAGGTTGATGTGAGGCAGGTTAGGAAGATGACTGAGAGATTGAAGGTCTTGAATGCATGTCTAGTAGTAGGGGTGATCATTTAAGCCCGACTCGGAAATTCCAGGCTTGGGCCTGGGTTTTGTGTTTAGGCCCGGCCCGGCCCGCCCCGCATATATTTAAACTTACACATTCTGTGTATAATGTATACATATGTATACATGTTATTTTACATTATATTATATATCTTATATATAAATATTATAACATGACATGTATAATTTATATTATATGTAATATTTTATATTATATAATGTATAAAATAAGTTTATATGCATGTTATGTCATTTAATATATAGATATATAATATTTTATATTATATAATGTATAAAATAAGTTTATATGCATGTTATGTCATTTAATATATAGATATGTAATGTTTTATACGAGTGACATTGGCTTGGAATCAGGCCCGGCCTAGCCCAGGCCCGTATAGACCTGGGCTAGGGCTTATGTTTCAGGTCCGGAACCCTGGGCCGGGCCGGGCCCGGGCCTAAGCTATAGCCCTTATCATAAGTGCAAAGCCCGGCCCGGTCCTGGCCCATGATCACCCTTATCTGGTAGGTAGGCATAGTTTTCAAGGCACCAAGGCGAGGCTAGGAGACAGGGTAGTGCCTTGTCGCCTAATTGCTTAGGCGCGCCCGCCTAGGTAATGGATTTTGTTAAGAAAAAACATATATCCTAGGTTCCATAACCATAGTTCCTTAATAATTATCCATAATTTTCAAAAGAAAAGTATACACTTCATGTTAAAGTAGAAAATCAACATATTCATAAGAAAAAGAAGAAAATACAGCATTTAGCAATGTTTGTGTTGATTAAACCCTAACAAACAAGAAAATAGTAAAAGGAAATTAGTATTTAACAAAATGAATATTTTAGTTTAATAATACCTATTTTATAATTATAATCTCAAGAAATTAAGAATATAAAAGTATTTTATAACACAATGTACAAAACTACTTGGAGATTAGGCAAGGCGAGCCTCCAAGGGTGCCTTGTTGCCTAGGCATCGCCTTGACAACTATGCAGGTAGGTTCATTGGAGTTGAGATGGAGAACGAGAATGTGGAAGCTTGTTAGCCATGTACTCTGGGCCGATTGGGGTGGGAGACTCATTGAGGGATGAGATTTTTGGAGCTATTGAAGGGATTCAAAGGGTCAAGGAAATGAAGATCAAAAAGGTGGTTATAGAAGGTGATTCTGAAATGGTGGTGAAATGGCTAAAAGAGGACAGTGCTATGATGTGGAAATACAACAATGAAAAAAGGAAGTATAAGTGGTTAACCAAGGACATGGAAATTCAATGTAATTGGATTAAGAGAAGGGCAAATGCATTGGCTGACGGTCTAGCTAGGCAAGGGGTAAATAGAGACATTATTCTGGGCTGTTTTGTAATCACTGCATGATCAGAAAGTTTCTTGGGTAGCTGGAGTTAAGACTTTTTAGCTCCATCCCTTTGTAATCCTGTTTTTATCATTAATAAAATTTCACTGTTATTGATAAAAAAAAAGGAGAATGTGTGTAAACTTGGGCTATACTTGAATGGGCAGGGAAAGTTTTGGTTGTTTGGGAGCTTAATGGGGGTTTGCTTCTATTTATGTTCCATTAACAAAAAAGTAGTTTGGGTTATGGATTAAAAAAAAAAAGGAAAAATAGGGAGTGCTATCTGCGGTTAGGTTGGTGGTTCTGGCGGTGTCAAGTCCTTAATTTTGCTGGACTAGGAGCATGTTATTAAGCTACTCCAAATCACAGCTTAAAGAAACAAAGAAAAAGGGGCTTTCTTTCCAACTCAACTTTTTAAGCCCAGTCAGTCCTATGGATGGGCTGAAGTAATTTAGGAAAGAAAGGGGCCTGTAGTTCAGTTTAGTGAACAGCGGGCCCTAAGTTAATTGGGCCTTATTTGTAATGCAATAAGCATAATGGGCCTGTAGTAGAGCCCATTTAAGGGGACAACAAACCCTAAAAGAATTAAATTTATATTAATTAATTTTATTGTGAAGTGTCTCACTTGTTTATAATTGGATGCCACTTGTCTTATTCTAACAAGAGGGCTATTTTTCCTCCTTTAACCACTTCAAGTGGGAGGATATATGTCACCCTAGGGGAGAAAGTTATTTTCCCTCCTCTAACCACTTTAAGTGGGGGGGCACTCGTTACCTTAGGAAGGAAGAGTTTTCTTTTACATCCTTAACCCATTTTAAGTGGGGTGATACTTGGNGGGGGTGGAGTTACTTAACCACCTCCCTCTTTTATATTTTCCTATAAGGAGAAGGGGCTAATGCCATTTTGTTGGCTAATAAGTAAAGGAGAAAGAAGAAGGTAGGGATGCCAGTGTTCCTCCACCTCTTCATTATGATAATCCTACAACATTACCAAATAAAAAGGTAGGGGCATAGGGGTCAGTTTACACCTGAGGCATGCGCCTTTTTGAAGCAAGGCACAAAAATAAAAAAAAAAAGTCAGAAAAAAAATATTAAACATAATATTAATAAAAAATATAAACTAAATGTTATAAAAACCTATTATCTAAAATTAAATACATAAACATAACATGTAAAGCATATTCAAATGTGAATTTAAAAATAAAATCAAACATATAAAACATTTTCAAGCATGTAAAACCCACAATCTCTTTTTTTCATCAATTGCATTACTTAAAGTAGCTAATGTGATGTAAAACATATTACATTCCTGATTCTACGGGTCGCCTTTGTGCTGCACATCTCAAGGCAAGCCCAAACAAGTCCATGTTAGGGTTCTAAATTCTTAGTTCTCACACAAAAAATAATAATTTAATAATTTTAATTGCTTTTTAAGGAGATATTTTAGTAGGATGAATGGATGAACAAAGTGGTTCTCTTATATTTGGCTTTTGGGTATACAGCTTGACCCGAC